ACTTATCGCTTTATATGTAGTCAGTCTGCAAGTGCTACTAAATGAATGCTGGCGTTAATTCATAGTCACCTAATGTTAGTTCGTGTAATTATTTTTTTGTGTGTTCTGCATTTGATAGATAAAATCTCTATTTCTTCATCATCCTAATGATAATCCCTCACACACCTGTAAAATATCAATAGCCGCTGTCAGCCAACATGACTGGGTAATTAGTTAGTTAGGTAGGTGGGTGCCGTAGTTCAAATTAAAAGTTGGAGAAATTTAGTAAAACTGTCAAATGTTAAAGTAGTGTGAGAGGACTTAAAACAGCTTTACACCATGACTACTATTATTACTATTACATGAGATATAAGTGGAACGCCTGAGAAGAGTTGTAATTCACAGTGATAATAACTGTCAGCTAGTGTTTCATTAACTGGAATTAGGTTGAGTGATGTTGTTTGAGTCGATCACGACTACTCAAAAAAAAAATTCAGATTGCACCGATCTTACTGTAGAGTATCTGTTAGCCCTGAATATTATTCACTATGATCTTTGACTTTGAAGTATTATTCAAGCTTTTGAAGATTTCTAACCGCTAGAATGACCAATCGTGTGGTAATGACAACCTTTAGAATTCATTCTTTCTTAAACTGTGTGTATGTCAAGTTTTCGTTAGCCAAATAGTCTACTGGTTTACTGAAGATAATGTACAGTGATTCCGTCGTTGAATGATATGTTACATCGATGACAAGCGGAAACAAAAGTTATTTCAGAGTACCCTTTTTTCTTTTCGACAGTTTCTTTATTAGAATATTCCTTCCATTACCTTTTCTCAGCAAGGTACTCTACTGTTGTCACTGGCTGATGTATACATTATGGTAGTACAGTGTAGCAGTTAAACTGTTGTTGTTGAATTTCATTTCCCACTATATGTAGGCTGGAAAAATAGCTCAAGTTTCTAACTCCTCGACTCTAAGTCTTATTTTCTAGCAATTCTTAGCCAACAGGACAAGGTGTTAACAACACTTAGATTGCCTTTCAGTGATCAGTTGTTTTGTGAAGTGAATTTTTCAGTTAAACTACCGGAACTGGCAAGTTCTAAGACACACTGTAGTCTTAAGAGAGATTTTAATTTCACTGAATAACACTTAATTAAGGCATTTCTAAAGATGGCGTGATCAAATGCCTTTTTTAAAATGTTAACGCTGACTTCTTTACCTAGTACTACTCGGCTACAAAAACTAAGTCATAGACTCAGTCTGAGAATTGAGCAAAAATGTCAGACTTCAAAATTAACGATCTTTTCTATTGGTTCAAAACAATTTATATCGATCAGTCTTTATGAGAACAGAGAGAGAGTAGTTTCTTCGTACCAGAAATTTTTTTGTGAGCATTTTTTCAAAGATTTCAAAGCAACAGCATAATTTGTCCATAGTCTCTTTTGTGTGTATGCGTGTGTGTGTGCGTGATTCTAATGACATGATTCTGTATTTATCGTACACTAAAATGTCTTCTGCTGGCTTGTTGTTTCTGATGTTGATGATGACGATGCAAAAAACCAGTCACACGCACACTGCATGCCTAAGATTTTTCAGACAATTTCAGAAGAACAGAATTTTTTAATGGTGCATTGCTTGCATGACCAAACATAGGCGCAACAACAACAACAACTATAGTAATAGTACTAATCATACGCTTGCCTAATTAAGGAAAATGAAGCATGTTATCGTGATTTGCATGAATTTTCCTACTTTATCGAAAAATGGCTTCGTTTGGCTGTATGGTTCTTTACCTTGTGATGTGATTTTTGACATTGAATAGGTCATCTTGTCATTCATTAACATATACTATGTTATATGTATGACACAGTGCTTCGTTTGATTCACAATAGAAAAAAGCAACTCCTTGGTTTAATGATTAAATTATTGTTGGATTATTTAACCTTACTGACTTTCATTTGTTAAGTAGTAAAATGGAATCTTTAGATGAAGAGTATGTGGTGTATTAATCATAAACTATAGCGTACTGAATTACTGTGAATAACACAAGTGACGCTAACCAGTTAGGGTGGAATGGTTGTTATTCATTAAAGACATTGGATGTGCGTCGGTGGCACAGCGGTTAGCATACTCGCCGACCATCCACATGGTCCGGGGTTCGATCACCGGCCACAGAAGCACTCCTTTACCTCACTTTTCCAGTAATAAGACTGGTTAAGGGGGATGGTTGGGCATGAGGCTGGCAACCCCATCCCGTAAAAATAAACACCACTGCTACCGAAACTTCAAGGTGGAGGATTGAAGCCTTATGTTCCACTGGGAACGTGAAGGAAATAATAATAACAAAGACATTGGATAGTAAGAGCCTTATACAATGAACTTCAACTTAGTTTCTGTTTGAAAACTTGCTTTTTATGGGAAATGTTAGTCCATGGCACAATTCTGCATAGAGTTGTAAATATGCATGTTAACGAAGAAGAAAATAACGGTATGCTTGTCTCACTGAAACAAAATATCAGTTAAAACTAGTCTGAAACAGCTTAATCCGAGATAAATCTCATGCATGAACTGCATAGTAATATAAGATATACTTACAGTAGTACACTGTCAAAACACAACTAATTAGAATTGCATCAGTGACAAAAGTTCACTCTATCGAAACTTTGAAATGCTCACACTTTACTTCATTGGAATTATTGCCAGTAAAGAATTAATACAGTTTCGCATGATAGTAATGGCTAACGGAATTGGTTGTGTAAATCATCATAAATTATTGCATACTTGGAGTTTTTCTTCACTTGGTGAAGCAGTTTTTCCTGTGACCTTCATTAAGGTAACAGTTAGAAATTTATAGCTTGCTTTATAGAATTGTAGAAAACAACTCATCTAATCCTCAATTCCTTTGTCCTTACTCCTCATCTAATTATATTTAGCGTAATTAATGACCTTTGTCATTGTTTTGTAAATGTGAATGAAGATATAAATTTTATAACCGGCCTTTTTAGAAACCTAATTTCTACCACTTGCTAGATTAACGCGACATTAAGTTTAGACAGCGCTTTCTCATACAAAGAAGTGATAGTGTGCTGGTCTGTTTCATTATCTGATAAGGAAAACAAAAGTGTCAGTCATTTCTGCAGGGCAGTAATTTACCAGCTTTTGTATAAGTATGTGAGGATGTGTGTGTGTGTGTGTGCAATGTCGCTTAGTGATATTAAATTAACAGGTGACTAGAATACAAAATAAATCATCAGTTTCCTGCTCAAAAATTATTTAAAGTTCACAAAGAAAAAAAGACCATCACAGGAAGGATATTTAAAAAAAAAGTCTAACTGACCTAAATATATAGTCACGGCAATTATAATATATCACATCAAATAGCTTAGAATGAAGTATATGATTGTTTGAATGCCAGTTTAATCAACACTTCAGGATGTCTTGCTGAGGCGTATACATATTATGTATATATATATATATATATATATATAAACTCCGTCACTCAGTGTCAACAACAAAATTCAGATTTTCAATACAAACGTCAAGTCAGTTCTCCTTTAAGGATCAGAAACTTGGCGGGTCACAAAGAATATTTCCAACAGCCTGTTGCAAACCTTTATCAACAACTGTCTTTGCCCTATACTGAAAATCAGATGGCCGGGCCGGAAAGAATCATCAACAAGAAAGTATGGGAACAAACAAAACAAGAACTAATCGCCCAGCAAATATGCAGGAGAAAGTGGAGGTGGATTAGACATTCGCTGAGGAGGTCGCTGGGTGACATCGCGCGCGCGTCAGGCCATCGCTTGAGTGGAACCCGACAGGGAAGCGGCGGTGAGTGGGACGTCAGTGCAAGGGTGAGTGACATGGAGGAGATCGTGTGAAGAGGAGTTGAAACAGTATGGACTAACATGGATGCAGGTGAAAAGTAAGTACAGCAGAAGGAAGACAGAAGCAAGTGGAGAAGTGCAGTTGAAGCCCTATGTTCCACTAGGAACCCAAGAGAACAATAATAAAATAATAATAATAATATAAACTCAGTTTTATCGATTTGAATGCTCTGTGCAGATATGATGAAGTTGATATTTCTACTGACTTTCCACCTAACTCTGTAGTGACCATTTAAATTAAGATGAAAACTGGTTTTCGATCTTATCAACCGCTTTTGATTTTCATAAAAATGACAAGAGTATGGAGATTATTTTTCAGGTTATCGATACTAGAAGTTATTCAGTAAAACTAACAACAAACAAACTAGGTGCGATACAGAATAAAAAGCGAAAAAACTAAGTAATACAGTGCACACATTCTACTCCATTTGAAGCATGATATGCTTTTGTACCTTAACAACCTGTAATTTTATGCATGTGAACTATTTAGACATAAAATAATAACATCTGGTGAGGAGTAGTGTTATTAGTGTATGAAAACGCATATTTTAGTTGAGAGATGTTTAGACCAGTGAAATACTTAACAACTTCGAAGAATTCACTTCCAGAACTTTATTTCTGTAATATAATTATCTTTGAATAGGTTCTTCGGTAACTTATATGGTGTAGGTAAATTAGTAAAAATAATTTTTGACATTTAAGTGAAACAATGAAACATTCACTTGATAGTTATTCCACTTATGTTTGATATTGGTAACTAAGACAGGTTCTTTGGGAAAATATTAAATTAAGTACAAAAAGCTTGGATATTGACCTTGGAATACTAATATAATCAACAGTGTTTATTCTTCATGAAGGTAGAGAATACGACACATTAATTATATCTATAACTTCAATGAACTCAAGGAGTGTTTGTTATATAAAAACAAACTTGAGCATTTCTAAATGAACATAGTTGCTTTACAAGCTATCAGTGTTAAGTGCCTAATTAAGCTACACGGAATTGTAGTTAGAAAGCAGTCTAACATATTCCCACATTGTTAATCAGTTTTACTGTGTGACAAAAAAAAAACAGAATCTTAGGATAATATTACAAACAGAAATATTTACTCAAGACTAAAAAATCACTTACTTTGTGAAACAGACAATAAACCAGCTGGATCGCATACAAGTGTACTAGAATATTCATAATTTCCTTGTTGTGGTAAACACTGTTCCTTGGATTGTATTATATCTGGATAATTCTTCACTTGAGCTTCATATTCTTCTGGAAGACTACTGGCCAATCCGTGTGTAATAATATAAGTCAAAGCGAAATTGAACACGATTAAATAATTCATTGAAAATAGTATGCCTGTAGATAATGAATGTATAACGCGATTGTGATGTCCGGTGAAATGTTAAACTATGCAGGATACAGTTGTTATACGCAAGCTTTTACAATAATACACTGTGCTGTAAAGCTCAGTTACATATATTTATAGGCACTTAAATATATTATGTGTACAAGTCTATATATAACGCCAAGCCAAAAATATTCAACTTTGAAACACGAATTCATATATATATATATATATATATATATATATATATATATATATATATATATATATGAATGTATATTATAAGTGAAACTTTATATCAGACCATCTTTACAGTTGTATTGTTGAAAATGGGTGAATAGGGGTAGCTGTTAACAGTAATAATAATAATAATAATCATGGCACTAATAGATTACCTTATTTTTAGTGCACTATTGTTTATATAACCGATTTCTGAAAACTCGAACATTCAGTGTATTCGTGTGTGCATGTGCATACGTAAATACTTAGGTCATTACTACATATTCATTATTCATTGTCAATAAAAATTAAATTAAATAATATTAACTGAATGGAGCTAACTAAATAAGAATTTATTTTTGTCTTTATTAAATATAAAAATGGTTAAATAATATAAATTAAGTTAAATTAAGCTAATACTATTTTTATTATTACTATTGATAATAATAGTAATAATAACTCCTACTTCATCCTTAGTGTTCAATCTAGTTATCACTTAACTGACCAGTTATTTCATATTTGTATTTCTTTTCGAATGATGATCACCTAACTATCGTAGATAGAAAGAATAGAGTGTTTTGAAAGTGTTTTGTGAACTATCGGTTACAGCCACCTTGTTTGCATAAAATAACAGATTTTGTTGTTGTTGTTGTTATTCGTTCCTTTATTTATTCTATTATTCACTCGAATGTATGGAGTTCAGCTGACGGTTAAACAATGCAATCATAATTTGGATTAGATGATGGGTTCGATGCAGACGCACACAAACGTACAAAAGATAAACACACACACACACCCATACATTTGCACACTATCATAAAGATTGTAGCATGCAGTGCACAATTTGCGATCATGCACTTTAAATTGCCAACAGAAATAATCAGTATTGAAGAAAAAATCACCTTTGGATTTGAAAGGTATCTATTGCTTATCTATTTTGTAAGTATAGTAACTCTTGTATCATGCACACAGAAAATGAGTATGAAGTTTGAAACAAGTGAAATTCTCATTCGTATTAAGTCTGCTTTTATTGGTATATATATAAATATTGCAATGCTTTATAAATAGATGAGCAGTAGGCAGGTAATAAAAATAATCCAGGGCAAAGATGCTTCTTTTAGACAGGTTTTGGTTTCTACACACTTAAAAATAAACTATAAATCGACAGATTGCAGTTCACAAGAGTATAGAACTGCAAAGACAATATTTAAAGTTTATTATGATCGATTTTACTATATACAATCTTGTGAGCTAAATAGATCGACTTTACTTCTAGAAAGTACTTACATTCAGTGATTTGTTTTGATAAATTCGTAGAAGCGGTAATCAAAGGAGTAATATATTCAACTATTAATGGACTAGTGCGTCGGTTAAGACGCTCGCCAACCATGCACATGGTCCGGGGTTCGATCCCCGGCCACCAACGCACTCCTTTACCTCGCTAAGCCAGAAATAATCCTGGCAAAGAGGAAAGGTTGGGCATGAGGCTAGCAACCCCATCCTGTAAAATAAACACTGCTATAAAAACTTCAAGGTGGAGGCTTGAAGCCCTATGTTCCACTGGGGAACGTGGAGGAAAAAAAATGAACCAGTAGTCAGCGTGGTCTTGCACACTCGTATATTAATCTATACTGCATCTCTTCTCATCAAAAAGCGTATCGATTTCTCACACTTATGCCTGGCCCACTATCAGTAAAACCTAGTATGGTGTATTCCGAAAGACTGTGGAATTAATTATAAATTCATATCGGGCATAAATAACCTAGAAAAAAGTTACAGAAAAATGGCTTACATTAAAAAAAAAAAGAAAAAACAACAACACACTTTTGTCTTCGCATGAAATAAAGCAAACAAGTATTATTGTGCACAGAACATACTGTCAAACATCAATTCTTCAAGAGGACAATATGACATATCGTCAAATATGGAATATACAACTGTCCTAATTTTCTATGAAATTACTTACTGAACAACAGATTACCATTGTCAGTATTTATTTCCTTTACCTTTCTCTTCTATTCACTCTGTGGGTTGTTTCATATTGTATGGGAAAATTTGAGGCAGTAGATTGGGTAATTCCAAAGCAACAGTCAACTGCAACGCTGTTATAAGAAGAAAAAACAAAGTAAGGAAATAATAATTTTACCTTGTTAGAAGTTTTCTTGTCGAATTTGTTCGAAAAGTTATTATTTGTTTGATTATCGCTTGATTCCACACCGTATTTTTGGTACAAGTATGAAATTTTCGCCATGTGATATTGGTAGCCAAAATTTTGCAGGCCGACCATAGATACAAGGTGTACGCCGGCAGAGGGTCGAACCCCGAACCATATATATATATATACATATACATATATTATACTGTTGAAGGAATACTAGAAATAATGTAAATGTAGAACTTGGGCACTGTGGTAGAATGTAATCCCATTTAGATAAGTTTGCCTTAAATATCACACGTGCGTCGGTGGCATAGCGGTTGGGACCCTCGACAACCATGCACATGGTCCGGGGTCCGATCCCTGGCCACCGACGCACTCCTTCACCTCGCTAAACCAGAAATAATTCTGGTAAAGAGGAAAGGTTGGGCATGAGGCTAGCAACCCCACCCTGTCAAAATAAGCACTTCTACAGAAACTTCAAGCCTCTAGCTTGAAGCCCTATGTTCCACTGGGGACCTGAAGGGAAAAAATGAATATCACACAGTGAGGCAGTATTAACAATGGGATAAATTATTGCTCATACTCTTGTCAATACCATAAGTAGTATACATTATCGTTTTGATGCTCATTTCCAAAAAGATTCGGTGGTTTTCGATCCATTCAGTCACCTACTTCAGTGTATATCACAAGGGCTTAGAGCAATATAGTTGTGCTAAATTATGTGGAAAAAGCCAGTGAGTGCATTGCTAAATGTTTAGTGCACGAGACGAGTGAGTAGCTGCATGTTTATTTAGTTAGAATTATATTGAATGATTCCAGTTTTAAACAGTCAGGTACTGATATTCCCCATATTCTGTGACATAAGAGGTTGATTGCATTACTTATAATATATATTATTATTTCCTTTAATTTCTAGAAGAACATAAGGCTTCATCCGCGCGTCTCCATTGAGTTCGGTTCTCTGCCAACGTTTTCACCTAGCTTCACGTCTGTCTAAGTACTCTCATCTCCTCTTCACATGACCTCCTCCATTTCACCCTCAAACTGACGACCAACTTGCCGCTTCCCACTCGGGTTCCACTTGAGAGCCTGCCGTGTGGTGTCACTTGGTGGCTTCCTCAGAGTATAGCCAATCAACCTCCATTTCTACCTGCATATTTGTTGCACAGTCGGTTCCTGGTTGATCCCTGTTGTTGATCTTTTCTGGCCAGCCATCTGATCTTGACTATTGAGCGAAGACAGATGTTAATGAAGGTCTGTAGTTTGTTCGAAGTGCCCTTCGTGACGCGCCAAGTCTCTCATCCGTATAGTAGCACTGATTTCACATTGGAATTGAAAATCAGCATCTTGTTATTCATGCTGAATGCTGTTGACCTCCACACAGACTTGAGAGTAATGAAAGCTTGCCTTGCTTTCCCGATCCCAGCTTTGATATTTTCATCAGTTCCGTTCGCCTGTAGTTGAAGCGATGCTTCCCAGGTCGGTGGGTAAAGGAGGTTGTTTCTTTCAGACTTCTGCCATTTACGCTGATTGTTGTCTGTTGTTGCTGTTGGTGTTGGCCAGGAATCTTCATCACCCCTGGTTTCTCTATGTTCACCTGAAGTCCTATCTTTGATGCTTCTTCTGCCAGCTTGTTGCTTTTCACTTGCATATCTCCCAGTTTGTGAGTAATCAGACAAATATCATCGGTGAAGTTCAAATCCTCTAAGTATTTTGTGCGGATCAATTATATGCCTGTTGTCCTCGTTGCCCACCGCTGTCTGTCACATTATCCAGTCTACCGCAATCAGGACAGTCATAATACCTTATGTATTTCTCAGTAATGTATGATGGTAGAAATAATCATTTGTTTCATTGTTAGGAGTAATAACAAGAATCAAATTTCAGGTACACAGACATGATCATTTGTTGCCTGAAAAAAATTACATGCTAATTCTGTACATTTAGAATTTACAACATATCCATACACATGTAAGTGACTCTTTTACAGATCAAAAACATTTTATTAACGGAGTACTCTGAAATTCTGTTTTCACTGAAGGTCAGTCAAAAAATAAATAAATAAAGTGTACTTCTTACACACAATTATTTCAAAATCAAATGAAAATACTTAATACTATCAGAAAGAAAACTATGTTGAAAGTATGTGTAAGTTGCCCCAAATAGAATGCACCATGTTCGGACACCTATCAGTGTACACAATAAGACTGAAATTGATTTGAACTAATTTCATAAAAGTGCATTCATTATTACACAGATAGATGGGTCTTTTATCTTCACTGGATTATTTTCTTTGCTTTCTTTGTTCTGTAAATTATGATCTTTTAAATAGTTAATTAAGATTAAGGTTACATACCTTATACCTTCAATAAACTGTAATATTCTGCTGTGTAATTTTATTTCACTACTCTATTTCTTTCGGTGGGATATCCAGTGCACTGAACTGAAACAATTTATCAAGTTATTATTTTTTTCACGATTTCATCATGAGCTGACATTAGTTAGAGAACCATTGGAAAACCTGGGAGTACTGGACAGCTGTTTCATCCTAGTTTGGGACTCTTCAGCAGTACGCACCCACCGGGATTCGAACCCAGGACTTTCCGGTTACAAGGCGAGCTCGTATACCATTAAGCCACTGGGACCCGATCCAATGGTCCTTGAATTCTAACTTCTGCCAATTCACGATATAGCGCGACCGCTAGCCAATGACTTCGGCGAGTATTTGTCCTCACACCCAACCTTCACATTCCTTCACGTTCCCCAGTGGAGCATAGGGCTTCAAGCTAGTGGTTTGAAGTTTCTGTAGAAGTGTTTATTTTACAGGATGGGGTTGCTAGCCTCATGCCTAACCTTTCCTCTTTACCAGCAGTATTTCTGGTTTAGCGAGGTGAAGGAGTGCGTCGGTGACCGGGGATCGAACCCCGGACCATGTACATGGTCGGCGCCTGTCCTAACAGCTGTGCCATTACATTACTTTCATTGGATTGTTGTGAGTGAATGTAATAACTGAAAATTTAGCCTATTATACGAACTTCAACAACTGAAATTTGCATTGATAAATCTCGAATAAAAAGAGGATGAAAATGCATTTATAGTAGTCATTCAAGCCTAGTTAGTAATACGGGTATGTATATATGTATGTATGTATGAAAAAGGCCAAACAACTGGTACATTTATAATTTACACTTAATAAAAAGACTTTCATCAATGATAGTTCCTTCCGACCAGTAGAACATTTTATCTTGAAGATGTTGGTCATATATGCGAACTATTGTTTGACTAGTAAATTTGAATAAATTCTTCTTGTTTTCTATCATTTTCTAGTCAGATGATAGACAGCCTAATGAACTTGAGATGATTCCTTTGAACAATTTACTACTAATCTGACATCTTACTGTTCATAAGACAATGCAGATAAGTCTGAAAAGCTTTTCATATGATCATTAAATTGGAAAATAACTGTACTACGAAGTTGTCGATCGATTTTGGCCTTTTAACCAGGCTCATGTGAATTACATGTCATGCTACTAATAAGTT